TATATATATATATATATATATATATATATATATATGGTAGGGAGGAAGGGGTGGTGTCATGTATGTAGTATGTATAAAACAGGAAAGAGAGAAAGATGAAATGTTTGTTTTGCTTTTCTGGCACGGAATCGATGATGCTCTTTTCACAAATACGCGTATAATAACAAAATCATATTTCTGTTATTTGTCAAACAAAAAAAAAAAAGAATTGGAGCACATTTTTTTTTTTTTTCTTTAAAATAACAAAAATAGTAAGAAGGAAAATGAACAAACATATATATATATATAATAATTATAAGTATCGAATTAAAAGATTTGATATGGGGTTTAACTCTTTGGGGCACGATGGGATTAAAAGTTTCTCACCTTTTTGGTACACCGTAATGCACGATGGGACGTTTTTAGTCCCACCTCGAAATATTATTGCAATAGTTACACACATACTCATGAGTTTATATTTCGTCTTATTTACCCTAAGCAATTGGTTATTAATTTGTTTTTGGTTATTAATGTTTTGACATTATATGTAATACCTTTATTAATAAAAAATATATACCAATTTTGTTTAATGCAACATAATAGGGCTATTTTACTATCTGTAATTCTGTGTTGCAAAGAGTTAAGTAAACATTGAATATTTGTATGTATGAATAATTAATTTTATAGGTATAATCTGTGTATGTTGGATCACCGGCACGTTGGTTGGATTTTTACCACTTTTAGGATGGAATGCTGGAAAGAAATCCGACGAAAAGTGTATTTTCACTCAGGTGATGGACTACGATTATCTGGTCTTCCTATATTTCGCCACCATCATATTTCCAGCTTTATTAATCGTCGCATTTTATGCCCTTATTTATAGGGTTGTAATAAAACAGGTCAGTTTCTAAATGAAAATGAAATGATATGGAATCATCGAGACCGACCATTTTTTACTCGATAACTATCCCTTTAAACTAACATAAAAATGTTTTCTTTGTCGAGTATTCCTTTATCGATTGCAATGCATTAGATTACATTTCTAATATTTAAATAGATTTTCATACTAATCTTAAACTTAGACGTTGATACTTTTTACTTTTTTTTTTTTTTTTTTAACTAACATCAGCACTTAACCCTCAAATGCAAAAAAATAAAACAAAATTAATTGGTGTGTACAAATGTGAGATACTACATAATAATCTCTTACTTCATTTCTAACATAGATACTTAAATTCATACATGCATACTTACATGCATACTTACATGCATGCATGCATACATTTTTTGGATCATTCAAAAACAATCTCTATCTATCTTTCTATCTCAGTCAATAGATCTTTCATCATTTAACACCTATCGTAACAAATGTGATCTTTGAATTAAATAACATTATTTAAATTCAGGATAAAAGTCCCTTTTTGGATTCGGGGGTTAAGATGCAACGACGAACTTCCAAAGATCCAACAAAGTCTCGGTCACGTTTGCTCGATGGGAAAACACGATCGACAGGATGCTTTCAGTTGCAGCAAATAGTCACGATGAATCCTGGACGTCGTACCGGAGGTGGTAGCATTTCTGGTCTAGCTGGTTGTACCACTTCTTCGATTAGAGCTGGAACTGGTGCTGGTGGTGCTGGTGATGCTGGTGGTGCTGGTATTGGTGCTGGTGCTGGAAGTAATCATCATACAACCGGAACTATGCAACGTTTCAAGAGGGATGTCAAGGCCACTCAAAATCTATCCCACATAGTAATATTCTTCATCATCTGTTGGTTTCCACTTTACACGATTAACTGCGTTATGGCTTTTTGTCCTCAATGCCAAGTGAACGAATTCTTCATGAACCTATGTATAATTTTATCTCATTTGAATTCAGTCGGAAATCCTCTTCTTTATGCCTACCACCTTAAAGATTTTCGCGAGGCATTGAAGAATTATTGGCGATTGTTATTTTCTAATGGGGAAGTTAAATCTAGCGTCCCTAACGTTATGCATGAAAGAGGAGGCTCTTTTGCTGGCTCGCAAAGACAATATCAGAGACAATCTTTCGCTGGTACTTTACCAATTGGGAGACAAAGGTCCAGTCTTTTGAGACAGGTAATTCAGAATTGTTTTCATAAATTGATAAAACCCGTTGTTGGTGTTGTTGTTGTTGTTTGTTGTTCAGGTTACGGATTTCCAAGCTAAAGAAATGTCTTCGTTGAGTCGAGCATCTTCCATTCGTGACAAAAAACAACGAGACGAGATACCATCGAATTCTTCATCACCGAGTGAAACAAAACGACGTATCATCGGCACCGAATATCCATTGAACGACGAGTCTAGTCTTTCATCTGCAAATGAAAAAAATTATTCAGAACATTCCGAATCTGTTGGTGGTGGTGGTGACACACCGTCAATCGATTCTCTACCGATGGAATTACAAATTTATAAAAAAGAACTCATGAACGTTGTTCCAACATCTGCGGAAGTAGATCGTTCCGATCATTCCGAAGAACACCCACCCACCTCGATTTTCATAATTGAAGCGGATGTTAATCGAACTGTGTCGAATCGAAATAAATGCGAAGAGGATTCCTACGAGAGGCAGGACGAAAGAGGATAATCCTTATTCAAAGAATAATTTATGGTTTCAACGATATGTACGATAATGTATTGCATGCATGTATAGGCAATTTGAAAATTGATTTCGATCTGATTGGTCGACGATTAATGTCGAATTGGAAAGCGCGAAATTTGAATGTTCGATGTTGATACTATACTTATGTATGACAGAAAAATGTCTTCATCGTGTGTACAATATTTATTTTAATATATATATATATATTAATATATTTAAATAAATATTTATAGTTTCGTTTGTGGTGAGTATAATTAAAAAATCGTTAAGACTGTTTGTACAAAGGTTATATCGACTGACCATATGGAGATTAGGTTTTTTTTTTCTTCTTCTTCTTCTTTCTAATTTTAGATTTCACGAGCAAACGAAGATCGATATCTACTCATACGATTCATTAAACGATCTTCATCTTATATGAGTCACGTGTGTATGTGTGTTTAAGTAGATAAAATGCTATTATGTGAATATCGATAAATTACTTATGATAAGTTACTGAAAACATATCCATGACGAAACTAAAGATCTCATTGAAATGTCCCGAATTATCTATCTCGCAAAAAGGTGCATGTAAAAATGTAATGATTCCTATGTTTTACAATCTAATACGTAAATATAATTATTGTATAGATAATTGAATAATTGTTGTGTTTAATTTAAGGATACATAAATGTATTTTAGCAAGTAAATAATATCGAATTAAATTTATAATATAAATATTCGACACATAACCTACCCGTTATGTAAAACGAATATTATTACACCATTGTGTTGTATTAAATAAATGTAATTTAAATGAATTTAGAAAGATTCATATAGTATATTCGAATATACATTTTAAATTAAAGATTCCATTTTTATTATTTGAATTTAACCGCTGCGACATCGATCAATCTGGCGGAAAACTTACGAACTAAATTGGACGAATCAAAATAATTGAAAATATAACGATTCTAATAAAATCCCGCGCTTTTTTTTAGTTGACGCGTTGAGTGCTAACCTGTTGCACGTGTTGCATCGCGATCACGCGTTATTTTTAATATAAACAAATGAAATCGTTTTCTTTTTTTTTTTTTTACATTATTGAATAAGTAATGCATTGATAAAACAACAAACACCAATATGGATCCAAGCGAAGTTGTATTTCTTGCTGAAAAAAAACTTGTCACGATAGTGCCAAATTTTAGTTTCGGTGCAATACATTTGATAGCCGGTAGTATAGGACCATTTCGTGCTGGTTTACCTTTAAAAGTTCCAATTTGGCTGGCAGTAAATTTAAAACAACAACAAAGATGTCGTATAGTTAATCCAGAATGGATGGAAACCGAAAATTTAGAGGAGGTTGCAGAAACGGAAAAACTTTCCAAGTAAACGTTACTGTCATCATTTTTTTTTGTTTTTTTTTCGGGGTGTGCAATGAATGTAAAATATTATTTTGTAAAATATGATTATTATTTTTAATTATTGTTAGATTGTTCACACCAATGCCAAGCAGTCATTACATGGACGAAGCTCAACTTTTACTTAGCGTAGCAAGTGACGATATACACGGATCAGAAAAAATAAGAACGGCTATTAAAGTACATAAAAATAAATCTATAATTAATCATTTCTTTTACCATTCGCGTCTACCATTATTATAATTAAATATATATATTTTTGTCTAGGATATATGGGATTTAAGAATGTCTAAATTACGTACATCTGTAGATTCATTCATAAAAAGTGATACGACACACGCAAGACTTGATCATCTTACCATGATGGAAATCAATAGTATACGTCCATTATTACCACATACTTTAGATCAGATATTAAGAATTCAATCCGTAAGTAAATATTTTCTAATTCAAAATGATAACACATATAATCAATAATGATAAGTAAAAATAATCTCATTGATTATTTGATTTGATTTTATTTTAGAATAATAGCAATGCAGGAAATACTACTACTTCTCAATAAAAAAAAAAATACTCTACTCATTTTTCATGACAAGGATAAAAAGGATTATTAATAATAAAATTTGTATATATATATATAACTATATATATATATATTTTTTTTTATGTCCACATATGAATGTTACTTAATCGTTTTATTACTTAATTTACTTGATCTCAGTACATCATACAGTCACTAGCATCTCAATCACAAGTTATCATTATCACTATTATTAATTAAATGCATATTTACAGTGGTAAACCTCTTTCCAATCTTTTTACTTTATCATCATTTATCTTCTACGGTTTCTCACATTATTTACATTCTTTTAAACTTATAGTATACAGTCCCTTAATCATCTTTGATTTCACGCCTTAAAAAGATAAATACTTATATATATATATATATATATGTATGTGTAAATTGTAAAATTTAAGGCAACTTGTAATATATATTATATATAATCGAAATGTAAACTTTTTCAAATAAGAAAACTTATTAATTCATTAATTAAATCGGCTTACTAATTAATAAACAAATATGAAATATATCAAATTCGTTAAATATTAGAAATAATTTCAAACGATATCTTAACATATATGCATGTATGTATGTATATATATATATATACATATGATAAATGTTTTATATGTACATACATATAAAACACGAAGTAACAGGAGCATAATTCTTCCTAAATATAATTGTAATTGTATTATCAAAATTGTAACGTACTAATATTTGGTGGTAAAATCGCGACGCATATTGTAATTGAAAATTCGTTGTATATCTGGAGCTGTGTTGTGCTTATAACAAATCGTACAAAATATCATCATTTCTGTCAATTATATGTAGATATAAATACGGAGTATACAAATAAAAAATGGTATGTGGTGTATGATTTATCAAATGAGAATACGAGCAGCATAAGTAAAGCACTTCGTAATATCAATAAGTTATTAATACTATAAATATAGTTTGCGTATTAAAAAAGAAAAAAAAAAGATTTCAATTGAAAAATCTATCTCAATTTGAAATAACTGATAATAATATTAATTATAAGTACGTACGTGTTTATGTGTGTATGCGAATATATTGATTTATATAATATATTTATATATATATAAAAAAAAATCGCAACCATATTCTATAGTATAATAATTCTAAGACAAACCAATAAGTTGTTTTAAAACAGTCTCTGCCATAAGTACCATAATTTTCTATCTGAAGTACCATTATCACAAAATATTAGGATTGAACGTATCGTCAAATCTCTCTCGTACGAATATCGCTCCATTTTCTTAAAATATTGAATTATTTATCAACGAAGGAGTATAACGATATTTAACATTTTCTTTTTTCCTCTCTTGTAAACCACACACATATGCGATATTCGAGCATATTTATGTATTATTAAAAAGAAAACGATTTCATCCTAATTAAAGATCTTGTTTTCTTTGATCCTATCTTCTCAAATTGTTGGTTTTTTTTTTTTTTAAATGTTCCTTAAACAGCGACAATTTTACTAGGATCTACTTTAACCCGAATGAACATTGTATCGTCCTTTACAAAATGTCGTTTTTTAACCATTTCATGTGAAACAAATCGTGGAAATCCAAAACCAAGAGAATCTGGTTCACGACTGGGCCTTTGAAAATTTTTCCAAGTTGGATCTGGTATAAAACTTTCAACTATATTGCAAGCTTTCTCTGCTACCACCGTTTGATCGAACATAGTGAAAGACACGCTGTGAGAAAATGGCCATCTTAACAGAGCATCGTATTCACCAGGTAGAATTTTGATGTATATAGAAATGTGGCTTCCTTCACCGGTTCCATTTCCATTTAGAAAAACTGAAGCCTGTAATAAATAAATAAATAACGAATATAATAATAATTCGAAATAAAATCGATTCTCTTTAATTTATAAATTTTCTATACGTTAGCGTTAATAATTATAATTAATAATTATAAATTAATAATATAATTATTATAATGTTTTCTTGTTAAAATAATTATTAAAACTACGACAGAAATAATTGTTTATTTATTTTATACGAATAAAATACAATATTAACACTTTAATGGCCGCTCACAGAACATTTATGTGATAGCCGAAAGAACCGTTATTTATTTCTAACTTTTTATATATTTAAAATTATATAAAATTAAATTTATTGTTAAATTGTTGTTATTGTTTTTTTTGTGTGTGTGAATTTAATAAAGTTTTTTTAAATTAATTTTTCAAAAATATTACCGGCGGCTCCCTTGGCGACTGCTTAGACGTGCGGCCATTAAATTGTTAATATATAATAAAAGTATAATAATAAATAATAACCTGCAGCTTGTATCCGTATTGACTAGTGTAAAAGGGTGGACTGATAAGTTCCATTCCTTCCTTGGCCCTTGCCTCGGACATTTTTGCAGTATAATCAGTGATTTTCCATATAAGAGTTCCAGTATAATTTAACGAAAGTTTACTTATTGCAGATTTTAAACTTGTTATTTGATGCTGTTGCTTCGTCACCACACTGCACATTAAACTGAGATGCATTTTAGCTGACTCCTCTAAATGTTTGTCCAAAGAAAATCTGTTACCCTATAGCAAACAATAAAAAACTGAGCATCATAATACAAGATATTACAATATTTAATTGTCATACATTAAAGTATTGAAATAAACCATTAATATTATTGCAAAAAGACAACAACAAGAAGAAAATGTACCTTAAAACGACAACCAGCATCTTTAAACGTGCACGACAACAAATGTGTCGTGCAATGATCTTTAAGATGAACTTCGAGATCTTCTCTTGGTAAAACTGCGGTCTCGCAACGATGAGGACACGCTACTGGAAAACGTCCACATTTTGCGTGGTGAGCACCGAGCGTGTCAAAAACAAATTCCTTGTTGCAATAACGACAAGCGACCAGTCGCTTGGCGCATTCACCCAATTTGTGTTGGCCTAAGTGTCTTCTTTGAACTTTCATTCCACATTTGTTCTCACAGTACAACGGCTCGTATCCGCAGGTACCTGTGTGTTTCTACAAAAATAAAAATGATACAATGACCAAATGTAATTAACACAGAGACAATAATTATCATCATTAACAAATATACAATCAAGAATTATTTTTATAGTCAATTGTGTTTGTTCAATTATGTTATATTTATATACCTCAAGGGTGAGGCCGGTAAATTCTTTGGCACAAAAATCGCAACGAGCCCTCCGTTGGGCGCAAGTATATTTCAAATGGTCCTCCATTAATACTCGGGGTATCATTGCACCACATTTATTACTGCAAGGAACTGCATCGTGTTTGCAGGTATTCAAATGAGCCTGTAAATTTTAATATATTTATATTAACTTTATTATATTTTTTGTTAATGTTTTTCTTATTGAATTTTTTTATATAAAAAAAAAAAACAAAACAAGAAATTCATACGACAAATACCTTTAATTTTCTTAATTCATCTGACCATTTGCAACCATCTTTGTGATGTATGCAATAAACGATGGATCCCATTATTGCCTTTTCAGCTTCCAAGTCGTGGAAATTCTGTAAAAGAAAAATAAGAGAAGAATAAATACAAAATTCGTGTGACCTGTTATTATATTTGATAGAAATTATTTTTACATTTATAAAAATTAACATAAGTGTATAATATAGTAATACATAATGATCTCGCTGTAAAGCGTGCCCAATAGAGCACATAACAGTCATTCGCATGAGATCCGTTAGATTTGCGTAAATCTATTTTGCGGTCCCGCTGTTCACTTTACCTTATTCGTCAAGTTTAATTGCATAAAACTTAAAAAAAAAAAGTATAAAGAAAAAAAAAATGGAGAAAGAGAGAAAGAAAACATAAAATCAAACGAACATAAAATGAAACGAAAATAAAACCAAAAAAAAAAAATAAAAATAAAAATAGAAGGACTTGTACAAAAAGAAAAAGAAATAAAAAGAAGAGAAGAAGAATCTTTGAAAGAAAATAAAAAAATAAAAAATAAAAATGATATTAAATAATATTATGTAAAAATAATTAACTCCTACTTTATTTATACTAAATAAATTTCAAGAGACATGTACAATGCAATGATGAGAAATGAAATGAAATCAAATGATTTCACTTGTGCTTAATTAATCCAATATAAAAATAAATAAACTTTATAAACTTGGGAGGGGGTGGAGGTGGGAGGAAGGGAAGATACGTTTGCATTATGGGTTATGTCATTATTGATGTGGATTTCCTTATAAGGTTTTCGTATAACAGTAAATCATCTAACTAACGGAACTTTCACTTTAATTGTTAAACGAAATTTTTTATGATGGTGTCGTTAACAATATATCACATAAATTTACAATTGGTTGTTCAAAAAAATATATATAAAAGTACTATTGTAATAATGGATAGGAAGTATTATTAAAAAAAAAATGAAAAATAAAATTTCTAAAGGAAAATGGCACACAATACAAAAAGTTTGTATCATAGGAAAGTTGGATTAACTTCCAACAACAAAGTTTATACAAATTTATAACAAAATTTGCATATATATATTGCAATAATGGATAGGAAAAATTATTAAAAAAAGAAAAAAAAAAAGTACAAAATTTCCAAAGAAAAATGGCACACAATACAAAAAGTTTGTATCATAGGAAAGTTGGATTAACTTCCAACAACAAAGTTTATACATATTTATAACAAAGTTTGTATATATTTGTATATATTGCATATATTATGTATATTTTATTTTGTAGACTTGAAAAACAACTAATTGAATATCATATAATGTTTGAATGTTTGAATCTTTGAAGGAAATTGCAATAACTCTGAAGTAGTAGGGTGTATCCTTGCTAAAGATTTTCAAACTAAAAAGGAAAGCAGCTGTTTCTCGACACAATAAATGTATTTCTTGGAAGTCGAAGATCCAATATAAGTACACAAATACATATATATATATATATATATTTATATATACATATGTATGTCGGAAATAGTGATATGTAATGGTTCGATGCAGGAGGTTATGCCTCGTGCAAAGTCCAAGCGGGTGGTGATGGTTCTTTAAAAGCTTCAAACATACCCAATAACTATTTTAACTTACGATTAAATATTAATCCTTTACTTTGATTTTTATTAACAATCTAAAATTCAAATTTATAAGTATTATCGAAAGTAATTCGACCTAACAAATTGAACTTTACAAAATTGTATTCTTATGACATTAATATGACACAATAATTCAACTTAACAATTATACTTTGTAAAATTGTATTCTTATGATATTAACAAATAAATATTTTTTTTAAAAATATATATATTAAATTCTTTAGGATCCCTTGTTATCATCGATGCTACAAGAAGATCGGTGAAACGCGTGGGTGGAGTTGTTTCGTTCCTTCGAAAACAACACGAGTGGTTTCAGAGACTTCGTTTAAAGGTCTTGTCACATAAGAGAATCAAATTGATTTATTTTTATCCTAATACGATTTATTTATTAAATAAATAAATATTTATGTATTAGGTGTAGACATTAATTTGGTCCATTAATTTAGCTCATAAAATGCATTTATTTCAAAAGATAATGAATTAACAACGAATTAATCAAAATATTGTCCATCACTGCTTACAACTTGTCATATCTATTAAAATAAATTATTATCAAAATTTGTAAAGATTTATGAACCAATTATAAAAAAGTAATATAAAAAATTGTTAAGAGACWAAAAAGGGGACACCACACCACCACCACCACCACGTGTTTGTTTCGTATTTGCATTTGCATTTCTCGTGTTGGACACACCCGGTATATATGGCCGATGTCTGGAGGTGCTTGCAAGTTGAAACCTGCACGACCAGCAAGGTCGAGGAACCTAACGCAACCAGCCGCTGGCTGCCGGCGAGATATAAACACTGACCAGGAATGGAAAAGACAAACCTGCCTTGGAGAGTTTCAGGATTGCGACAAAAAAACATATATGTATGTGTGTGTGTATATATATATATATCAGGTGAATAGAATTAATAAAACGTTCGTTCACATAACTCGTTTATCTATTTAATTTTTTTTTTTTAAATTAATTTTCTTTTTGTATTTTTTATTTGGAATCCTTTGAACTCGAGGAAAATTTTTGTTTAAATGTTCAATGTGTTTTAAATGTTTAATGTGTGTTAAATATTAAAAAAAAAATTTGTTTAAATGTTTAATAAAAGAATTTTTAATGTGTTTGATAAGAATATTTTGTTAGTAAATTTAATTTCTAGAATTTTAATCTCTAAATTTTTAAATTTCTAAAATTTTAATCAATTAAAATTAAAATTTGTTAAATTTATATTTATTAAAATTAAAATTTGTTAAATTTATATTTATTAAAATTAAAATTTATTAAATTTAATTTCTAAATTTCTATAATTTTAATTTATTAAAATTAAAATTTATTAAATTTATATTTATTAGTCTTAATTTCTAAATTTCTTCTTCGAAAGAACTCAATGCAAAATTATACACTCATATATATATATTTTAAATTGTTAATTAAAAATTTACCTTTCTTCCAAAAGAAAATATACATTGTCATTCAATTATAAAAAGTTCAAATATATACTTTCGAAAAAAAAAAATTGTAATAAAGAAGGCTTGAATTGTGTATAAGAAAATATATTTTTAAATATATAAAATCAATGATAATATTTCATTTTTCTATTCATCGGACAAACAAACGTGACGACACGTGTTTCTAATATTTTTTTTCTATTTCTTTTTTTTTTTTTTTTAACAGAGAAAAACAGATTATACATGTATGCATTTCTCATTCGAATTCTTTAACCCCTCGTGTTTGCTTCACGCGCTTTTAAACATGGCGGTATATAATCTTTGATCCTTGACAGAGTTTTTTCTCTTCGTAGAAAAAAAAAAAAAAAAAAAAAAAAGGAAAGAAAAAAGAAATAAACGAGACAGTAGTTGTGTTTATGATCTTAAAATGTTTTCGCGGTATTTTCTTTGAACAACAAACGAAACAAAAACACACACACACGCACACATTCATAAAATTGAATAAATAATTCCCCCTCTTATTATATTCTCTGAGATCAAAAAATGATTTCATTAATTTTCCTTTTTTTTTTTTTTTCATCGTCTGCTAACTTAAACCAATCACAATCGTTCATTTTCTTCATAAAATCTATTTAGCATACTTTGTTCATCTCATCAGACTCATCGTTATTACATTCGATGTGATAATTTTATCATTTAACATTCTTGTATTTGTTCAAAAGATAAGAACCATGAAAGACAAATATGAAAAATAACAAAATAATACATTGAAGAGAGAGAGAGAGAGAGAGAGAGAGAGAGAGAGAGAAAGCTTACATAAGTCGAGTAACACCTTGAATATGACACGATGATGTATGTTCTTCAGTTTGGTGGATGCTGTAATACTAGTAGTAGTAACAACAACAACAACACCATCAGCATCACCATTAGCATCTGCATCAGCAGCAGATGTTTCAAAGAAAACGACCACCGAAAATTGTATTACCGAATGACGTGGTGTTATTACGTAAAATAAGAAAGTTGTTCGCCAAATTTGTTGGAACAATGTATAACCCCCATAAAAAAAAAAAAAAAAATAAGAAGTAATTGTAATAATTAACAATAATAATAATAATTAATTAATTAATTAAAGTTAACGTTATTCATTATTAGAAGAAATAAAATTTATAATTTACAATTTACAATTTACAATTTAGTTTATAAAGTTTCCAATTCTAAATTTATTAAAATAAAATATAAAAAATATGAATGCTAGTATAATAATTTCAATAAAAAGTTTAAATAATAATAATAATAATTAGTTAACGTTAATGTTATTCATTATTATAAAAAAAATAAAATTTATAATTTACAATTTACAATTTAGTTCAAAGTTTCAAATTATAAATTTATTAAAATAAAACGTAAAAAATATGAATGCTAGTATAATAATTTCTATAAAAAGTTTAAATAATAATAATAATAATTAGTTAACGTTAACGTTATTCATCATTACAAAAAATAAAATTTATAATTTACAATTTACAATTTAAAATTTAGTTCAAATTATAAATTTATTAAAACCCAATGTAAATAACACGAATGCAAATATAATATAATTTTGATATAAAAAGGTTTTGAATAATAATAATAATTATAATAATAATCAGTTAACGTTAATGTCATTCATTATTACGAGAAATGAATAATGCAATTTACAATTTATAAATTACAATTTACAATTAACAATTTTTAGTTCAAAATATAAAATTTTTAATTTATGAAAACCCAACGTAAATAACAGGAATGTATGTATGGTAAAATTTCGATAAAAAAATTTATATACCATATATATTATGCTATAATGAAACATTGAATAAAGGATCATCCTCAAGGTCTTCATCTCGACTCTTATCGGAAACAAATTAGTATAGTCGACGTTAGGCGCGTTCCAACGATTCCAACTTGAAACCCTCAGGCGTTAAAGTTACAAGTCCCATGTGACGTCACATCGAAATAACGGAC